TTGGAGTTACTAATCTGTAGAAAGCATACTTCGGTTATATTTTTCAGCACACAAGCAGAAATCTACCTTCATTACAGTTTTGACAGCTGCTTTAAAATAAATATAAAAATCCTCTAGTTACTTAAAATACAAAGAAGTTATTATTAGTAACTGGCAGAACTATGTCTAGAGCAATCCTTTTAAAAACCAGCAGTAATACAAGGTGGTTTTTAGAACATCTTAGCCAGCTCTCATTAGATCTGTAAGCACTGCCCTCGTCTAGCTAAGGATAACAATGTCAACATGCCAGAAATGTACTATGGAGATTAAAAATCAACAATTCTCACTCTTTTTATTTCTCTTTTAAAATAATTAAATTTTTCATTGTCTGTTCTAGAATGGTATTATAGCATTTCTGCAATAGGAATTTATTGGGAAGAAAATCAGCTGCTTTGTTATGTGTACAAACATGTTTGTTCATACTTAGGTGTTGGAACATAATATTCTACTTCCTGCAGGTATTGTTTGAAAAATGTTTTCCCTTGTTCAACCTTGTGGAGTTTGGAGAATTAAAGTTAGATTTCAGAACTAAAAATTCATAGTCGGTGACAGAGTTTTCCAGCATTATCTGGTGGGTTGCTTCAAAGATGAAAGATTATTTCCCTTTACCACATAGATATCACACACAAAATTGTATAATTTGTTCATATAAAATTGGTGAGCAAAACTAAGAATTGAATTTGCAGACTCGTCTGATGACAGGATCTGAAGAACTGGTTCAACTAGCACTCTGCTCTATTTCCAATCTTTTGCTGCATTGTAAGGATTTTTACCAATACTTCATAACTTAAGTAGCTTAAAAATATGTAGTTTAATTGCATCAATTTGTTGCAAGTGAGTTGTGCCTTAACACACAATCTTAGGCAGATTTTACTCCCTCTTCAAACTAGAGAGGGAGGGTTAATTGTTGTTTCATTGTTGAAATAAAATAAGTCATTGTGAATAAAATGGTTGTGTTTTGTCTACTGCAGTTTTAACCCCATGTGGTGGCGGAAAGAAATGTTCTTCATTATCCAGCACAGCTAGTCAGATAAAGGTATTTCCCCTTAATATTTAAGAATCTTTTGTCTTCAAGTCACTGTTTAACTTTTCTGTAATAATGAGTATTTCTGTTTTAATGAACAAATTTAGCAAGCTCTATAATAGTGTTTTCTAATAACTTTTAAATCTCAGCATATCTGAGATGTTGATGTCATTTTATCGGTACAAAATCAAACTTGTTCTGTTGAAAGAATCCAACCATTACAGACATCTTTAGGCTTCACAGACTGTAGGCAAATGTGAGATCCTCAAAGCACACTTTCCTGGATGGCTTAAAAGACAATATGGCGGAAAAAATGTAATGCTATGAACTTTGCCTTTAAAATGAGATATGACACCTTGAAGTTTAACAACATGGATTTTTCATTGGTGAAAAATATTAAATCCAGAATTACAGCAATTTAACATTACACTAATGCAAGAAAGCACTTGACTTCTCTAAAGAATGAAGTTAAACTACCAAGCTTAGATACCTTTTTCAGAATAGATATTACTATTTTTTTTAATTTGAAGCTTTCACAGTTATGTAGTAATGAAAAGCCAGAATCTTTGTTCTTAAGATGACTGAAAACAAAAGAACCAAAACAGGCACTTGTGAAGACTGTCTTTGAACCTTAATCTACTTCATGTACAATATTTAACTTTGTAGGCTCTGATCTTCTATCAGTACCGTCTGTGTCAGAAACCTTCACTGATACATATCAGTGCTAGTAAGAAATGAAGCTGAAATGGATGCTAGGCAATATTATATGAACAAGTAAGTTACAGTACTATAGAAATAAAATCTGTATTGTAGAACATGATATAAACTAGTTTTTTTTAATTTATTTGGCTTTAAAAGAGTGCCTAACTAATGGTCAACGTAGAATTCTCTTTATTGATTAGGCAGTCAACACAGTTGTGATTGAGAGAGTGTTTGTATTTAAAAATTCCTTATCTTTCTGGTTAATCCTTTCAGCAGTATCCAGATGGTTCTAAATATCTATTGTGAGGGGGGAGTTGTCAGCTGTTTCCCCTGAAGTTCTTTAGAATGAACATATTTTGTCTCTGGTTTCTGATGAATCTATATGCAAACAGGTGGGGGAAAAAATCATGACAGTATTAAAAAAGTTGTTTTAATCAGATGTAACCATCAAGATCTAGACTGTTTAAACTCTGAAAGTGTCTCATTTTTCCTTCTGAAGAAACGATTTTAGCCCTTTGTATAAAGACAATGCTGTACCATTTTTGTGGATGTTTCTATTTAAACCAACCCAGACTATCCTTGATGGCAAAAAGGAAAAATACGTACAAACAGGCTGAAAGCTAATTAATCAGATCAATTTTTGACTATTGGCATCAGTGCCCAGGAGAGCCAAACAGGATTTCAGCAGAGTGAATGTACCCAAACTAAATCAAAGTGCTGAGAAAGGTAAGGAAGGCATTTTGAAGTATTAGAATAATAGCTACTGATGCCATATTAGGGAAAAACTCGAAGCAATTTGATCTTAAAAAAAAAAAATAATAATAATAATAATCAATTTAACACTGCTAACCCTCTCCAAGTCTCCTATTTTGTAAGAAGATATAGATTCAAAGTTTTTAAATGCATCTCTTGGCTGCCTATGTAGGAAAAGTAAAAAAAATTAACACCACTTACATAATCCAAAAAAATGAACTTACATGAGGTAACAAATGCTTCTTTGGGATACTAGCTGTATTCATAGAGGGTGTGATGCAGTCCAAGTGGTGAACCACACGCTGTCCGAAACTTGGTTTAATGTTAAACCGTCCTTTAAGACAAAAATACCACACTGCTCATTTCAGCAGTATGTTGAGCGTCTAATCAGTTTTTTATTTCTCCTGTTTATCTGTAAACTGTTACTACCTTGCCCCCATTTTACTCAGATGATCTGACAGCTGTTTAAAAATAATACACTCAGAAGAAAAGGGGAAATGTGTTGTAAGGTAAAAGTACACTATCTTCTTTTCAAACAGGGTATTTTTTGTATATTTAAAAAGATGAAATGGTTTCAGTGTTTTTATTATTTAAAATGCGTGAGATTGTAAATAAGCATTAAACAAAATATTTGAGATTGCACAGTATCATAGAACGTGCATTTGTACTGGGTAGTTCAAAGCTCTTCCTCAGCCAGCTGCCCACAGTTTGTAGCACTGTGTAGGTCACTCTGTTGCCAGGACAGGATTTGTCTTTGCTCAGCATTGTGTCCTGTCATTTCTTCAGCCTGCTGAAATCTCTCTGAACTTGAAGGGATCTTCAGTGTGTCAGTCACTCCCCCATTTGCTCAGTGTCCTCTGTGCCCATGTCTACATAGTTAATGAAGGCATTAAGCAGCCCTAAGAACTGATAGTTGAGGAAGGTCACTTGTAACTGGCCATAGCTGGAGTATATAGAACAGCCCTTTGATCATAGTCCCTTTAATGTGAGGGTCCAGACCATCTTCTCTCCACCTCATCAACTGCTTAGCCACTCTGTATCTTGATAGTTCAAGAATACTGTGGGCCTGTGTGCCATGAGCATTTCTTCCAAGAGCATCTGGGGCAAGTTGCAACATCTCTGCTGAGTGCCTCAGCCAAGAAGAGCTAAGGATCTGGGTGGCTTCTTTCAGAGGTAAGGAGTAATAGAAGGGAATGTTTACATAATGGTGAAAGTTATTTAATACACTCACGTGGATTCTCTGCCCTCTCTTGCATCCTCATTCCTATGTGCATGTTAATGATGGCAATGGCCTTCTGTCTATTGATGCAAATGCTGGGTTCTACCAGCATCTCTGTCAACCTGATGTTACTCTTGATGGCTGTGGAAGCTGTTGCTCTGGCAGCCACTGGTAGCTGTGTCTGGTAATAGCAGTCCGTAAAGTCAACCTGCTTCTCTTGAAGACTTTCAATTCTTTAAAAAAAAAAAAAAAAAAAGTGTTTGGGAATTAATTACAGTAAAAAATGGCTACGTACCTGCTTATTTGTATGGTTTTATAGTTAATTTCATACTGAAGACAGAGAAGCCTCTATGCACTCAAATAGCTCGGGCAAAGCGATGCATAGAGAGGCAATAGATGAGCTGATGGCAGGAAGGAGCAGCTGTTACCAGGGCTGTGAGTTCAGCCTGCTGACCTGGAGCTTCCCAAACTTTTGTTTATATTCAAAATTCACTTCAAAACACCTTTTTCACTTGCCAAGCCGGGGCAGGGCAGAAGGGGCCACCGGTGGGCATCTCCCACTCACCGGCTGCTGCTCAGGGCCGAGCAGAGCTCTCGCAGCAGGCTCTCTGCCGCTCCGGGTTTACAGTGAATCGTTCCCTCTATTAGCTCCTGCGCGATGTCGAACTCTTGCTTTGCCAAAAACTTGAAGCATCAGGAAGGAAACAGACAGGCAAACAAACAACTACAAATTAGAAGATCAGGGAAGGAGCACGCTCCGTGGCTGAGCGGGGCGGCTGAGTTGGGCAGGGGGCAGCAGCCGCTCCCGCTCGCCAAGGCGCCCTCACCCGCCGCAGCCGGGACCAGTTGCTCAGCTTGGTGGCCAGCGAGCAGCCGTTCCTGTAGGCTTCGGGCTGGACGTGGGCAGGGAAGCGGCGAGACAGGATCTCCGCCACCAGGTATCCGTTGGCGAAATCCCTGTCGAGACAACGCGAAAAGCGCTGGCACCGCCTCCCGCTCACGCCGCCCCCCCTTTCCCCGGCCCGGCATGGTGGACCTGCGGTAGTTCCGTGGGCTGACGGAGAGGCCGAGGCTCAGCAGCCAGCGGAGCACGGGGCGAGGCAGCTCCGGCTGCCGGAGGGCCATAGCGTAGCGGGGCTGCGCTCGCCGCCTCCTGGCGCGGCCGTCACGAGGCGGAGCGTGTGTGTTGTGCGGGTCGTGCGAGGCGCCGCGTGGTACCGGCTGTGTTTGTCCGCAGTGCCTGACGGCGAGCCTGCGTGATGTCACAGTTGGATTCCAAAGCGGAACGGAGATGTTACGCGATATATATGTCGTTTAGAAATCGTAGGTTGCTCCAAAAGTCACGCCTTCTGTTGATGAATGTCAGTGGGTGCCATCTTTTCCGCGTGAAGGAATTCGGTGACGCGCTTCTGAGTCGTGTCTGTGTCAGGCTGCCCCTCTGCTGCCGTCTGTCACGCAGCAACAATGTATCATGGAATATGGGTGGGAAGGTTCAACCTCTGCTGCCGTGCCGCTAACATCATAAATAGGAGGCACTGCTTTCAGAGCGTGCATTCTTTAATTTCTGATTAAGCATAGCATCATGTTTTTTGGAAGAGCTTTACCAAGTGCTCATGTTGTTTATTTGGTTAATATGTATTTCTGGTACATGGCATGAGAATGTGTTGATCTAAAGGCCTGTTCTACAACACAGTCCTGCCACTGCAACTGCCTGAGTTCCCAGTTTTGTTTGTTGCCGTCCAACCTGTCTCAGTTTGCTGAAGGGACTCTATTTTCATATTATCTGTTAGCAAAAGATTAAAGATTTAAAAGCAAGTATTACCCTACATTCAAGTCACAAAAATACCCCTGCAAGCTGGATCTGGGTTAATCTGCTTGTCTACTGCTCCACAGAATTAAGGAGAAAGTAGTACCCAGTAGCTCACACCACTTAAGAGGATCTTGTTTGCTCTCTGGATGACTGATGGAATTAATGGGAATTGATAGTGCAAATGGCATGACAGTGCAAATCCACCTAGATGATGTAAGACAGCAGGGACTCTAATGTCTAAAGCCAAACCAACATCCTCTGTTTTTTCTCACGCAGCTTTTCCCAAGTCAAGTTTGACAAGCACTCTGCACACCTGAAGGTAAGAGCCCAAGTGATCTTACTCTGTGTATACAAGTGCAGTAGTGCAGTGGTTGGCTCAGCACTACTGTGTTTCTTGAAGTAATAATGGTAATGGCACTGTACAGAAAACAAACAATTCTTAGTTTCTGAGTGGGGAAAAAAAAAAGAAAAAAAAACAATAAAACAAACAAAAACGTCTAGACCTTACTCTACCTAACTTGCTCAGTACATACTCTAAATCCTTAGACTGTGCACAGTATGGAATCCTAAGCAGTCTCTCCTACTTGCATCTGATCTTCCTTTAGAGGGACTCCAGAACAGGATCTCACTAGAGTTTTTGCAAGGAGCAGAAGTAAACTAAGATTCCTTTAAACAAGGATAAAAGTCAGAAAGCTGGATTTTATTAGGTGGACATAAATTAGCAACTGAGTATTAGGCTTATAAGTAGAAGGTAGACTGACTTTTTACATGGGTAGATAGTGATAGGACAAGGGAGAATGGCTTTAAACTGAAAGATGATAGATTTTAGTTAGATGTTAGAAAGAAATTATTTACTCAGAGGGGTGAGGCCCTAGCACAGACTGCCCAGAGAGGCAGTGACTGTCCTATCTCTGGAGACATTCAAGGCCAGGTTAGATGGGCTCTGGGCAACTTTATCCCGTGGTTGGCAACCATGCCCACAGCAGAGGTTTGGATCTTCATGGTCCCTTCTAACCCAAGTGTTCTATGATTCTATGATATGATGCAGTAGCCTTCAAAAACCTTGTGGGTACCATGCAATAATTTATGTTTTTCTTTGAGGCAGATAATTAATATGTCCCTAAGTTATGATACAGCACTGTTAAGGAAAGATTCCAAGAAATATATATATTATAAGGAAAGATTCCAAGAATGCTCTGTTACAAGAGGGCATCAGAAAGTATCTCAGCATTAAGGCTTCCCTATAATTTGTAAACTTATATCTTTATAAATTATTTGTAACTTTTTAAATTAAAAAATCTGTAAACTAGGTATGGCTAAAAAAAAGAAAAGCTCAAAACACAGAACTCCACAGCACAAGCAGTGAGGAAGAGCAAAGGAAGTTTCTCACTGTCATTAATTAAGTGTCTATATAAAGAAAAGGAAGAAAAAATGGTTATCTACTCATTTATTTATTTTTTTTAATCAACGTCTGTAGTGCACCTACCACCAAGTATTTTTTGGTACACAAACAACAGAAATTTAAAAACACATAAAATAATGACTCCAAATGAACAAAGTTAACAAATATAAATGAAGAAACGCTGCAGTTCCCACATGCCAAACAGATTTTAAAGTATAAATACAAATAAAATTAACAGCACTAAAGCTAATTAGTAAGTGTTAAGCTAAACCTATACAATAATTTCCCAGAGTATCAGCACACTAATTCAATTCAGCCTTGTTAGCACCTTGGTACCAGTTGCTGAATGGCTCCCAATTGTGATTACATGCCAACACCAGGTGTCAAAGATTTGTGTCTTGTTAAAGTAATATGCAAAAGGCTTTATTTTCCGCCCAGCAGTTCTGTAGGTAAAATTTACAATAAACAGAAGACTTATTATTCAGCTTTCTAAAGATTAATTATTATGTTATCTATACTGTAAGAAATTCTTCAGTATTGTTGGCAATTGGAGTTGTGGGACAAGATGCAGTCTAGCTCTTCCTATGTAATTTCGGATACGTAGTCGACAAAGCTGACAAAGAGAAGATGGTGTGGCTGCAAAAGAAAAAAAAAAACAGGAGTTTAATTACATAAGGGTGAGTTTCATGCCAATAAAAAAAAGATTTTGACATATTTGCTATGGCTTCTAAAAATCCTCTAGTCTTTGATGGCCTCTAGATAGCCAATTCACAAAACCAGTTGGTTTTAGTGTGGGTTGGTTTGGGGTTGGTTTTTTTTTTTTTTTTGCTTTTTGTTATTGTTGTTGTTGTTCTTAACAGTAGACTGTTTTGAGGGAAACATTGAAATAACGCCAGTTCACCTCTAAAGAGATGACAATTAACTGTGACAGTAACTTCTTTGCTTTCCACCTGTGTCTTCACCTGCATCTTGTGGCCTTTTTGTCTTGTAGCTTATTTTTACCCTTATATAAGACAGCCTGAACAAATCCAGATCCCTTGGGGATATATTAATTTCCTCCCTCTCTCAGACTTTTAAAAGTTATAAGAGACTATTTGTATCAATTGCTATTACTCAGGTAACTACAAAGTAAGGAATGTTTTCTAAATTTCATTTAAAGTAAAAAAACTCTATGGTCATTTATCATAGATTATTATAAAGCATTTCATTTCAGACAACTCATAATTATTTGATTTTAAAAATTCTTTGTTTGTACATTCATATGCATAACTGGGAATTGACTGAAACAGTTTATAATGTTACCTTGTGAAGTATGACAAGACTTTCAAACAAAAAAATATACTTCCAATATTTACATATTTTTTTGTCTACACTCAAAATAAAGGGCTTTACATGTTTATTAGGAACACATGTATTTTTTAATTTTGGGATGGTTGGCAAAAACTAAATACATTTTTAATCTGAAATTGAAGTATCCTGTTTCTTTATTTCATGATCTGATGTAGCCAATAAAAATGCAGTTTTATCATAGTTTAACTTACAATAAACATAAAAAGATGTTTTTTCAGCTTGAATAAATTCTGATGCTGCTTGGCTGTGCACTGGCTGTGGCCTGAGAGTAAATATTACTAGTTACTTTTATAGTTAAAAAGGAACTTGGCTGAAAGAAAACGTATTCAGCTGTTGGGGGCTTTTTGTTGCATGTTTGTTTACAAAAATACACTTGCTTACCTTCGTGGAGGAGCAGCAGTCTCTCTACTAAACTGCGAGGAGCAGCTAAATCAACAGGCCTCTCAAAATCTGTGTTTTTGGCATTTATGTCTGCCCCAAATTCAAGGAGTAAGTTTACAATCTCTGTACTTGAATGCTGGGCAGCAGCATGCAGTGGAGTTTCCAAATGCTTTCCTTTCTGCACATTGGCACCTGGTATGCAGGCAAAGAGATGTGAAGAAGAGATTCATTACAATTGTCATTGAGTAAAAATCCACACTGTCTGGGAATGCAACAGTGAATTTAGCCACTTCATTGATTTTATTACATACCAATATAGCTAATCCTATCACTGAACTTTTGATCATATAGTTATCCTAGATGTTCTTACAAAGCACAACAAGATTTTAAAGGAAAATACTGTATAAAAAGAAGAAAAAGAAAAAAAAAAAATCGAACTAAATAATGTGAGCATCATAGTTGCCCTAATTATAAAAAAAAAAAAAAAAAAAAAAAAAGTTAAAAAAAATTGCTACAGGTAAACTACACTTTCATTACTGAAGTTTTTAAAAACAAGTGCAAAAATAGAGTTTTTAAATTAAAATGGACTGAATTAATTTGCAGTGCTGTATTTATATTCATAAAATAGATTTTATACAGAAGTTAAACAAAAATAGCCAGTATGGGAGAACTTTTCTAAACAAGCTGTTAACCTTTCCCCTCCAATAGGATTTCTCCAACAGTCATCCTATTAAAAAAGGAAACTTACTAAAAGAACTATACTGATCATTTGAGACCAAAAATTGGCTTCTGTACCAAATTTTGGCACTGAATAAATGTTATCTGCCTTTTAAATTCCCACTTGAGTTAAAAGACTTTTTAATATCAGAAGCCTAGCAATTTGATTCAGAGTCTAAATAGGTCACTTTTACCAGCATGAACATTTTAAAAATGCTTCCACAGTGTCATTTTCTTGCCTACTTCATTGTCTGTTAGCTTTTTACCTCCCAATACACTCTAAATAACTGATCAAATAAAAAATTCAGATTGACATAAGTAGTTACCTCTGTTCTAAATTTACATATACTTCTCTGCTTTGTCACAACAAATGTAGAATGTCCTGTTACTGCCTTTAATTTATGCCAGCATATGAATCTCAAAACATGCCAGTTATATTTCTAGGTTCCTTAAACATAGAAATTATGAACTAGAAAACTGACTTCAAGAGAAATATTTTAATTGCTTGTTTATATTCTTGATAACCTGCAATTAACTAGAAAAACAACTGAAGTGCAATGATAACAAAGCGGTAATTATTCAAATATAATTTTTCATTTATTTTTCTGCAGGACACCAAAGTCCTGTATCTCATTACCTGAAACAAACAAACAGCAAACAATCCTTTATGCAGATAGTGTCACTGGACTCATGCTGACACAGACTGAATGTCCAACTTCTATTTTTGTTGATTAACTAAATAAAGCAAGGTTTAGGATGAAGTATCTTTTACCTTACTGCTTCTCTTTGCAGCTCAGCCTCTATGCTTTGTAAAAAGATTGAGTTCACAGTATGCTGAAGATTAAAAAGAATGGGACTACATAGCCAAAAAAAAAAAAAAAAAATCTGTTGAAAGCATACAGTATAAAAAGCTTTTAAAAACAACACCTTTCTCAGAGCTAATTTTAACTTTGTTTTTTTTTTTTTTCCTACAGAAAATGAGTATCTACTAAGCTGAGGTAGGTGCTGAATATTTTGAAGGCCCATTCCTTTTAGTCTTGATCCCTTTTCTACTCATGTTTGTTATGCCAAAAAAAAAAAAAAAAAAAATGCAGTAAGTTGATGTAAGAAAACATGCATCACAGTATAGTTACAAGTGTCCTGCAAATAAGGGTTCTAGTTTTGTTGACTGAGCACAGATTATTTCAAAGCTCAGTATGCTTATTTAGACAAATGAGCAATACTTTTATTTAAATAATGACATACCTGCGTAAAGAAGCTTTCGAATACAATGGATCTGCTGTGACACACATGCTACATATAGAGGTGTTCCTAAATGAGGAAGGTCTTGGTCAACATCTATACCCCAGGATATCAGTACCTCCAGGCATTCACTGTGTCCTGTCAGTACAAAGCATAATAGTCGGTTGACTTCAGTAAGTTGGCTCAGACAAAATGGGACTCATTTCCTCACACTACATTATTGAGATATTTGTCAACTGCTTGTCTGTTGAGCATGTAATTTCTTACCTCTGCTGGCTGCTTCATGAGTTGGTGATGGAAGACAGGACTCCCACTGAGCTTTGGCACCATACTCTAACAAGAGCTCAGCGCATGCTGCGCTGCCTCTCGAACATGCGTTAAATAAAGGTGTCACTCCATCAATTGTTGTAGCATTTACCTAAAATATATAAAATCGAGGTAAAAAAAAAAATTGAAAGAAAAGTAGTTTTAAATAGAATATAGCTAGAAACTGCATGAAAATAGTGACAAACTTACTGGTTAGAATAAAATAGTTTAACTGTTCAGTCCTTGCACTATTGTTCTCCCATCACCGCGTTCCTCAGTTTACTGTTGCTCATGTTAAATTATGTTGAATGAAAGAAAATACACTTACTATGCTGAAGACCACATATTATCATTTGGGCAGTAAATGACTTAATTTTCAGAAGTAATTGCACTTGGCTCTTTTCACTGATACAAAAAATCCACACCTGTTGTAGTAATGGGAACCTTCTCTCTGTAGCTTTAGCAGAATGCAAGCTTCATATTAAATGCGGGAATTATTTGCCCTTCTGTGTTTTTAATCTCTCTGTTGGAGTGGTATTTCATGGAATGAGACAAGGCTAATAGGGAGAATGATGAGAAGGAAAAATTGTGATGATGCTAAAGGAAGGAACACAGGTATTTGGAGAGGGGAATCTCACTTATCCTCTTGCGTGCATTCCCTAAACCCAATCCAACCATGAAAAGCACTACAAAAATTGAGATACAAAAATAGAATTGCTCTTACAGGTTTGTAAATAGTATCTATAGAATCCTTGCACTAGCTGAAGTGGACAGAGACTGCTTTTTTTGGAACACATCTGTGTTTTTCTTTTCTGTTACTTACACATATTCCAGATGTTTCCCAAAAGTAAATTGTAAGGACAATAAATATTCCATCACCAAGATGGAATATCACCAATTATAACTGGCAAACTTTAACTGTTGGTGAATCTGATGTCAGTACAAATTGTAGGAAAAATGGTCTGTGAATTCTCACTTTCTGTTTGGGATAACAGGTAGAGAGTCTGTGTCATGAATACAGAAAAGAGTCAGTGCTCTTTTGTACTCAGACCAAAGAATCTTAAGGGCAGTTAGCACAATGTGACAAAAGTTATTCCAGAGATTAAAAGAACAGACTCCTGGAAGCCACCAATGGAAAAGGAAATTAGTAAAGGAGAGATGCATTCAGAAGTTTAAAAGATAAATCATGTAATGAAATTCTGGTGACACTACTAGCGGATTCTCTCCAGTTGACTACGCTATCTCAGTTCCTTCCCAACTCCCATCTGTTTTCCCTGTTACTGTTCTTCTGTTTGAGATCTACTTTTACATATACACTTAAGTAGTCTTTGTTTCATTTTTTCATTTAACCTAGCATCTCTATACTGATGCTTCTTTGAGCCATAACTTTGCTTTGCTAGCTTTCAGATGACAGCTTATTGCAATTAAGTCAATGTCATCAACAGAGTACAGAGATACCAATGTAAAAAAATAAATCAAGGAATATATCCTTCTTAGTTAAACAAAAGTTAGCATTGGACTTCATATACGAAAACACCCTTACATTTGCTCCTGCTTCAAGAAGGATCCTTGCACATCCTACATGATCTCCCAGGCAGGCTTCATGAAGTGGAGTTACTTGGTCAATAGTTAGTGTGTCTACATTGTAACCCTAAACAAGATATGAATGACATACGAAGATCATATGAAAGCTGTTAGGTCACACTATTTACTATTCAAAGGAATAATTCATAACACTCTAAATAGGCTTAAAACTCTACTTGCAATAAGTAATCTTTCATGAGCATCTAAAAAAAATCTTTCATCAGTCAACACAGATAGCAGAATCAAAGTTGTCAGCTCTTCTTTTTTAAAAATCAGAAATATTAGATCCTGGAGTAGGGCATAAGGGGGTATAAAGACAATGGAGCCTGACTCCTGAGATGCATCATAATGAGACAAAAGGCAACAGAAACAAGTTGGAATGTGTGAAATCCAATTAGCTGTATGGGAAAGTATAATAATTCAGTATGGGGATGGTGAAACCCTGGAACAGATCTGCAGAGAGGTTCGGGAATCTTTATGCTTGGTAGTCTTTAAACCCAACGAGGCTTCTGGGTTTAAATGGCACTGTGATTCTAAGACTTAGAGTTCTCTGACTTAGGGACTGAAATATCTAGAGACATCAGTTTAATATTAGCAAGGAGAATACTTCTTGGATTGATAAAAACATCAAACACTGGATTTTTTTGCAGTAGGTATTGTTCAATTCTTAGAAGCTAAAAATTGTATTCATCAATTTTATTCTTTATTGTAGGAGCTAATATGACAAAATATTAACAAACAATGGTTTATAGTCTCTCCCTTTGCTGTTAACAAAACAATTTTTTTTAATCACAACTATGCAAAGAACCGGAATTTTTCAGTGCCTTCCCTCTAAACAAGTATTTTCCTGGCTAGCCATCTTTTCTGAGTGAAGCAGAGCATTTGGACTAAATGATCTCTGTGGGTCCCTTCTGACTCAGAATGTTCCATGATTTTACGTATATTGATTCACAGGAGGAGAATACTGACAGACATATAGTTACAGCTTTGATAAAGATTGATTTTATGAAGTTTAAAACATACAGATAAAATACTTTAAATATCAATTTATATCTTATTGTAACAAAAATTAGTAAATGTGTATTGTTCTCAAAAATTCTGGTGAAAAAAAAAAAAAAAGCAAAACATACTAAATCTGCATTAATAATCTATGCTGAGAGATTAGGTAGCATTAAAAAGTTAAGCAATTTTAAGAACACAGCCTTCACCTGTGACAATAAAGTCTTTAGAGAAAGAAGACGTCCTTGACTGGCTGCCTCATGCAGAGGTGAGCGATCTGCCCAAGAACCTATGTAATAACAACATTTATTGAGTAAACCATGTGAATAAGAATGCTTTTGGAATGCATAGAGCAAAGCAAGAAACATAATGCACAGAATGAAGTGAAATGTCTTGTGAAAATAATTCTTCCCCTGTAGAGACTGTATTTCAATTGATTTGTTTATAGATAAAGCTGTTATATTATTAACTGTAAGCATCTATAGAAAATGATTACATAGCACAGAGAAAAAAATATTGATATATTGATTTTAATAATACGATGCAACAAATGCATCTCACCATATTTCCAATTCTATTTTTCATTATTTATTTTTAAATATCATTCAATTTATTTTAGCAGCTGGCAAGTATGTTTACAGGCTTCAACAAATTGATATTTAAACCAAAAACAAATATAAACCTGCCTGGAAAGGTGCTGATAAAATTGAAGTATATGAAATTCAATTTGGAAATCTCTATGTACAACAAGATTAATTTCAAGCTATACACATGTACAAGAGAAATACAGTGAGAATCATAGTACAAAAGGTTGCTATAGAAGAAACAGGATATTATGTTCTCATCTTGATAGGCTACTAGCACTAAGAATAAGTAGTTATCCTTAATGCAAAAGCTTGCATTTATTGTCAGGACTCACAACCCTCTAGAATCGACAAAAACAAAAATAAAGAAAGCTCACAGTGATCTCTCTACCTCATGCTATCCCCAACCCTTAACTCCAACCCAACCCCAGAGTCAGCCAGTGGTTCTTTGAAGAGCCTGTCCTTTCCTATAGAACACTTGCTGCTGATAGGATCACAGGCAAAGCTGATACCCGTTTTTTATATTAACCTTGCAAATTAAGTTTTGAGACTGTGTAAGAAAGAATCATCTTCAAAGTATATTATGAATTACTGATACTTATACCTGTAAGAGGAAATTATTGGGAACGTAAAGAAGCTAATTCAATTACTCACGTGAAACCTGAATCTTTCTGACACTGACAGATTTTATTTTTGTCTAGCTGTCTGAAGTGAATGCTAGGGCTTGGACTAGGACTTATTTTGCTACTACTGTTATGTTGAAATCATACAAAATGTGTTAAATAGTATGATTCCCACTCAGTTCTTTTTCCTACACCACTTTTTTCTCCATTCTTCTAATACTTTTTTCAGAATGATTTGTGCTAAGCTCTGATAATCTCTGTGTGTGTGTGCACTCTGTGCATTCTCACAAACATTGTTCCCTATGGTTTTTACTTCTAGTGGGAATAACTAAGTTAAAAAAACATATACAAATTGTTTGGAATGTTAAGGGATTTTGTTTAACAATAACTGAGTTCAGAAATCATACTGACCTGATTTTTACAAAATAACAATAGTTTTTCACTGCTATCTACCATAGAACCAGCACTCATGTTGCTCTAATTCAAATAAAATAAGATTCATTAAGTCCTTCTGGTGACAGTTGCGAAATTCCTAAAAAATTATTGAAAACTGCATTAAAGGTTCCCTTTGAACTTTCTTCCTTATCTCCATAGATGAGATTATTTCTCAGTGGTTTAGCTTACTCATAAATTAACAAGAGGAAAACAAACAAAAACCCTGACACTTTACTATTGTATAGAAAAGCATCTTGTAATATTGTAAATATTAATTCTTTACATCCATTAAATATAAATATACTTTGGACTTTTTTTGTGTGTGTGTCCATGTGTAACTATCAGAACAAAGATGCAGTCAGAATGTGAAATCAACTTTGTTTCCACCTTTCATTCCATCTTCTCCTTCCCCCACAGAATGCTCCAAACATCTGTTAATATAATTGTTAGAGTGACATCTGAAATTCAGTGATGCCAGATCCCACTCTGAAGTCTATATTGCATCTACGCCCACCTTATCTCCCTGCCCTCACATAGAGACATTAGCAGCTAGCTGCTAAAACCATTCAAAACTAAATGCTTGTACCATCTCTATTAGAATAAAAATCTTTAAGCAAAGTACTGCAGAAAAAAAATTGTGCAAATCAAGCTTGGGAAAAGCTTCCACATTCCTACTGATTTATTGGTAAACATAATAATTAACCATGAAATACTGCAGAGATGAAAATATGCTCAAAATAAACATGCAGCATTAATAAACATCAAAATTGTTTTAAAATAAATTTTGTATCGAGATTGCTGCCTTCTGCTATTCTACAACCTTGCTGTGTCTCTTATTTAAAAAGCATTAACAAGAATATAAATGAAGAACTGTTTAAATTCAACATTGTCTGTGACAGCAGAATTAGTAATATAGTCTATTCCAAAACTGTTCATTTATTAAGTACCTGTTGATGTAGTTTCTGACAGATGCTGAGTATGTTGAATACAAAGCATCTCTAGCTTTATTTACCATTAGCCACACTAGTCCCAAGTTCTCTGACATTCATTCAGGAAGGGCAGCCTACATTACTTTGTAAACTCTAATAAGGAAAGAATAAATAGAATAAATAGACTAATGGTATTAATGGGCAAAGTTAAAAATAAATTAATTACAAATTATCATACAATACCTAAATCTCCATCTCCCCATGGTACTTCCAAACAATTGCAATTATAAATCCTACTCATTTCTTTCAATCTGGAAAAAAAAAACAATAAATTTAAATAAATTTATTCTTGCTAGCTCGGCCTGTTCTTAATACTTTCCTGCTGTGTTTGGAAGGAGATCGGCGGCTGGCTGTAATATGAACTTTCACCCTGCCATAAACACAGCTCTGAAGATACGAGCATATGGAGTTGCCAGTTTCTTTTCTTATACCAAAGGACAGTGACCTCTTTTTTTTTTTTCCCCCACATTTCTTTTTTTAATTAACAACTTTGAAAAGTGTTAGCATCTGTGGATTTGCCTTCTGAGACTGCTTGACTGGAATTTCAACTCAAGAGAAACTGATAGTGAGGCCAAGAGAACCGTGAGCTGAACAAGAACTGCAAAATCAATTCCTCCTTTTTTAACCTCATGCAATTGTTCAGTATCCTCAGAAATCTAAGGGAAATGCTGCCAAATATTCCATAAATTATTTTACTATTTCTTATCTATACAAAAGAAAGAAGCAGAGATCTTCTGAATATGTCATAAATGATACTTGATCTACTCACTTGGCTGGTTTTTATTTCAGCAGTTCACTGTAGTCTATTATGTTCTTAATAATTTTTGCATTGTTAAACTGGGTTTTTGGTAACTACTCTAAACAGTTAAAGACTCAGTTCACTCCCGAAAATGGGAAAGTTCTGACTTTGATCCATTTCTAAGCCATTGGTGTTATTTTCTTCTCTCCTATAGCCTTCACATCTACCTGTGAGCCTGTATACATGATGACAGTAATAAAATACTAACAATATTTTAGTAAAAGTCATTAGTTGCAATCATTCCATCCCTTTATTTCTAAAGATCTGTGCAGTCTTTGGAAAAAGAATAGGGGGAAAAAAAAAAAAAAAAAAAGTAAAAGAAATGAAAACAGGAACTTCCTCACAGTTCATCACTGAGATGAAAACCACAGACTATTTGGAAACTCCTGCTGATAATATTTATTTCTGCAAAACTAACTAAATATTAACTATTTATTGAGCTAATTCCTGTTATCTTTCTGTTTGTGGCAACAGCTACAGATATGATCAATACCTACTACATTGAAAATACCCTGTAGCAGTACAGTACAAAGATCAAAGGACTCACTTTGGTCCAGTTGATAAGACATCCTGGCATTTCATACATGTAATTAAGTTGTACCAGATTTTTACTGAAGCACTACCTACATTAAAACTGTCCAGTAAAATAGAACTGTGTCAACTACTTAATTGATATTTGATACTAAAAACCTATTGAAAAGAATCTTAGTATTCTAAGCCAAGTCTTTAAAAGCTAGGAATTCCATCAATGATGCTTAACTAATATGAATAGATTTGACCAGCTGAATGGCAGCCACTTCTTTTTAATAAATGAAATTCCAACCATCTGAAATATTCCAAAAGGATCAGAAATTAGGTTAGAGCTACAATATATTTGAGAAAGAATATAAAGCTCAACATCATTTAAGTTTTTCACTTCAATATTTTAAACTGCCTTTGCTTTAATTTGACTTTATATATTACAACAATATATAAGTATACATACATAAGCATGTAAATATACACATACACAACAAAAAAAGAGAGAAGAGAAGAGAAGAGAAGAGAAGAGAAGAACCCTGACTGATCCAAACCAATATTCTTTGTGGAGATTTAATTCCAGAGCCAAATGCCAGCAGTACCCTACTCTTGAAAACCATGCAAAACAAAATTTCTTTCCACAATTCATGAATGTACATTATTTTCACCATTCTGGTGCTATACTCAATGAATTAAGTTATATCTCCATTTCTAACAGGATACCTTCCCCCATGTTGGTTATGTTACAATATTTGGTAATTTTGTATTTCCTTTTTCATAGTTTTGTCCCAGTATCATAAAAATATTTTGAAATCCTTATGTAATCCTTATGTAATCAATCTTCATAGCATCATCCATTCATGTGATTTTATAACTGAGGAACCAAAACACAGAATCTTAAGGCTCATTTTGTAAAATGATAGCATACTTTTTTCCGGAGTGCTTAGGAACTGGAGTATGCATTGAAAGTTTGGTTTAATTATGCTTATAAGAGCACTGAACTGGCTTAGATAATAATAATCATAATCCACCAAGAAACTTTCAGTTTTGATGACTGGACTTGAAACATACAGTGGCCATGGCAAAGAAATGAATAGAATTTTCTTTTAGAGGCAGGACACAAATAAGTTAACCCTTTTTTCTTGTGGATTCCTACCATTCAACTACGTGCTTTCCAATCTGTGGAACCTACAAGAATATATTTCCATATATAAAACTAACACGTTCTCACAACACCATCCATCTTGCACATCACAGAAGGAGCTCTGTAGAAAAGTACAGCAGGTGACCATGTCATCAAGCACTACATTATAATGCATAAGAAGATCAAATCAGCGTGGCACAAGCAAGACTGCTTTTAACAGTTCCTAACTGAGTGCTTGGCATTGCAATTCAACAAACTTTATGCACAGAAACATGAGCCACTAAACTGTTTCAAAATCCTACTGAAAAAAAAAAAAAAAAAAAAAAAAAAAAAGAAGAAAAAATAAGTGCCAACAGAAGTAATGTTATGCTACGTGAAGGCAGTGGTAGTGATGATGGCAGCAGCAGTTGTTGCTACAGGCTCTGTGCCAGACCTTGAACACAGAGGAAGAAGCGTGTCAAGCCCCTTCTCCTGTCACATGAGAGCACAGCAACAACTTCCCTGTCCGTTACTCATGCACAGTTCTTTTTTTTCCATTTTATTGGAGGATCAGCAGCTGGCTGAATATTTTTCTAGCCTTAAGTAGCTTGCAAACTCTATGTGCCATATCTACAGCACCACCATCTAAAACCACATTAACCTCTAATAGAGTAATCTTTGGATACTGTTAGACCTACATCAGGCTTGATTTAAATGTGTGGAGTAGCTGGTAGCAAGCTAAGACTGTTATTGTTTCCTTAGACTAAAACCAAGAGTTTTGCAGTAGACTGCCCTAGAAGCTGAGAGGGGAGGAATGCTGACAATCTGAGCTGACCTGAGGTTTTGGAGGATTTCTGCCTGAAGTAATTTTGCTCCTCAAACACAGTCTTAGCCTCAGTGCAGACTGAAAACCATTTTCCCCAAGGTGTGCTCAGATTTCTCTGTATTTCCCCAGCCTGCCAGAGGGAATGCAATATGTGATATAATTCCTAGCCATAAAGGCAGAATCCTGCTGGCTAACAAAGCTGGGGAACTACACCGTGAATAGGTTTTCTGGCATCCAGGAGATTTTGCTAAAATAGTCTGGTTTTGGACCTTTGTGCTGTTGGGGCTGAAAATCTTTTGATAGCCTGGCTCCCTTTTTTTCCACTTCTGCCAGATCTTATGACATATTCCCCCTGCTACCCCATCACTTCTAGACTATTTTCCAACTTGTGTATTTTGTGAACTGATATACGACTTTTTTTCTGGGGAGAACAAAGTCTGATTCGGATAGCCCCACAGACAAAAAGGAAAGAAAAGTGTATCCTTCAGATTTGGTATTAGATACATTTGTTATTCAACCGGAAGCATTGATTGCAACAGTAGTCTCTTGGTACTTCAAGTTGTCAATCAATACATACACAGGCATGGTTTGTCAGTCACAAAGAGGCTTTAAGTAGCTGTACCACATTAAGATGGTATCTTCAGAAATGTTTGCTTTCCATATTTTGCTGCACTTCTGAATTTTTCAAAACTTGGCTAACTGGGGCTAATTCTTTGTAAGAATGGGAAAGAGCCCAGCCCTGAGCAAGGAACATCTACAGCCAGCATTTTAGACAAAACATTTGTAAAATTTCATTTCAGTCTTGTGAAGAATGTCCTTGTTTTCTGGAAACCGGTACTAGATGAATCCTTCACATATATCAGATACAATAGATTGGGAAACCTTCACCCACATGGTGAACAATAAGAAAGTAAATGGTACACTGTATATTAAAACCAATCAATAACTGTAACAGGATCATTGCACTCAAACAGCTATGGTAATTGTTTCTTTAATTCTTGAATACTGCTTAGTTTAGAACTGACAGTCCTGAAAAGGTATACCTATGTTTTCAATGGTAAATTCATAATTATTTTTATGCGTAATATAATCAAGTTTCTCTTTCCTGTCTCCTGTGCCTTTAATACTCTCTTTTTTCCTTGACTATTTTAACATCTCCACTTTTGAAACACTTCAATTTGATACCATAATATCAACAAAATCACTCCCCCCACCCCCTTTTTTTTTTTTGCCTCACTCAGCCTCAGGATGTGGTCAGTATAGGACTATGATCACTTTAAAAAAAAAAAAATAAATAACTCCTATTAGATTTTAGACTGTCACAATTATTCAAAGATCCCTTTTACACACTTGTAATATGAAAAGAAAAATAGAAAAATACAGCTCTGATAATAGCAGTCCAAAGCAAGTCTTTTATAACACAGTTCGTTTTGCATTGCTCAAAATGTCGGTGCCCAGTAATTTAATTTCGTCATAAGTACTTCCCTGTGCAAACCCTTACAGTTATAACTTTGTCCTTAGTACAAAACACAATAATTCCATCACCTGTAGTTCTTACATTGTCTCTGTTTCATTTACCTATAAACTGTTCTTTATATATAAAGTTACTCCTCCCCCTTTCATTCTCTGTTTCTCCCTCGTAAACAATTAGCCTTCAGTATCCAGTTACCTTGTGGCAGGAGAGGAAAAGTCAGGGTAAGTCAAGCCTTAAACACACATAAAACAAATAGGGCAGATAAACAGAAAAGGTATTTCAGATCAGCTGATAAGAGTGCAGAAAGAACAAAAATAGCTTCAACACCCTTGTGTTAACCCATGCAAGACAACAGAGTGCCGTTAACATAAACATGCATTTATATTACAGCTGGAAAGAAAAAGCACAGAAAATTCAGAGCAAGAATATCATAAATTAGGTCAGTTTAGCATATTTCAGTACAATTTCTGAAATGGCTTCTGTACTAACCTTGGCTGGTCAGAATACCCCAGCTAGATTTTCGTTTTGCAGGACACTCCCCTATACTTTCTAGGTGCCTTTTGGGGAGATTCTGGCTCCTCTGAACAGCAGTGTTTGTTGTCATTATTTGTTTCTTGAGGAAAGCCTGTCTATCATTGGTGCAGGTGCTCTAGTCTGACGAACATTCACAGATGGATTTCTACTACCTTTTTTTCTCCTCGCAGTTTTTCACAAAGGCTCTTCTTGTACTTACTGTAGAATGGCTACAACACTGAAATCCATTCAGTAACATTTACTAGCTTGGACTAGTGAGAACATAGTGGGGGAAGGGAAGGATTGCTCTAGCATTTTCTATTTTTAAAGCAGAGAAAGAATCAGCTTAGCTACAGCATGAGTCTTAACTATTTACACAATTTAAATGGAAAGAATGTGTTATTTTTTCCATAATTAAATCAAAAAAGGAAAAAATTCTTAAAGCATTAGTATTAAAGCATAAGTTTTGTGGCACAAGTAACAAGCAACCTAAAACAGGAAAACTAAATATGTTTTTATCAGACTAGCAATTTTTATAATAAAAGATAAAAACAATAATTCTTTCTGCATATGTAATTTTCAGTTAAGAGAGAGATTATGGAATCCAGAAGAATCCATGAAATCATTGAACACTTTTGTTTTTTGTTTTGTTTTTCTTAAACAGGGGAGATGTATTCTATGGATATCAATTAGAAACTATGTCCTGAATAATAATAAAAATAACTTGGCTTGACTAATTCACTGGTTAATTTGAAAGTCTGATCCCATTACAAAAGTAAGGCTGCAGACTTGTTATATGAAGTCACTAAACAAGAGCAATTAACTGCTAGTAGAATTTTCTGTTTGTTTTTATGTATCATTTGGGTATTGAATGACAGAACCATGGAAATCTGCATACAGAAGCAAAGCACAATAAAATTCCTGCACGGATAAAAAGAACAGTGATTTCTTTGTCAACATGCTGCCTTTACCCCCTGCCTCCTTTCCATATAGTATTTCTTAACTATCCTCTTTTACTGATATAAAAATCAGCCATCTGTAAAATTTTTAAAGGAAATTCATATTACTGGTTTTATTAGTACTATTCTTTTCAGGTACTTAACACAAATAATACATATTTATTTCGTGGAATCTTTCTAGATTTCCTCATATCTCTTTAAGAGAAAATCAGAGGCAAGTTTATAGTTAAGGGGGTTAAGAGAATGAAGAAAGAGCAACCACAGTTTTTCACCTTGAAATTACAGCACATGGGAACTGCCCTACTGGAACTGTCTGCTTATAGAACAAAAGCAGGTGGGCTACCTCTATTCTAACAAGAGAGAAGGAAACTGCACTCTCCCAGAGGTTTTCTTCAGATTTTATCTAGCTAAATCAGCCACAATAACTCACATGTACAGCACTTCTATATATCAAGCAATCAGACTCTGCAAGTAAAAGCTGGAAGAGAGATTTTGCAAAAAGCCATGCACATCATAAGCATACGTTTAATACTGGGATTACTTGTGAACTCATAGTATCTTCATCAAGAAAACAAATACGTGAAAGACATGATGAATCAACAAGAAACCTTATTAAACAGATGTATGCACATAACTGAGTCAGGAAAATATCAACACTATTTTCCAGGTATGAAATAACTGATGACAATTTCTATGCTTGCCAGGGTGTGGGGGCTCAACTCAAGTTTTACTTTTCCTTTCTACTTGGAATGGAATCCCAGGACTTTCAGGAGAAGGTGGTGAGGATTAGGATCAAGCAGAGCATCTTGGTCTGCAGGGCGGGTATTGACAGTGGACTGAGAAGACCTGCATGTTTTTGTTGGACTTCTGTGGGAGAGGCTGTCAGCTGAGAATGAAGCTGGGTCCTTCCAGTGGACCGATACCGACAACATAAAAGTAGTTCATGCTACTGCTTCCCACAGATTCCAGCCCCCACATTATTATTATTCTCACCATCCACACAGGTGTGACCATGCAGCAGCAAGGAAGACAGCAGATACAATGACAGCTGCCCTGGCCTGGGAGAGCAAGGTCCCAGGAGGGTCACCAACATCTTATTCTGCTTCCAAAAGCAGCAATCAGAAATCAATGAAGGTAGACTACAGCAAAAATCTGACACCTCCTAGGCAAGAGTACTGGGAAAAGTATCTAGTCCACAGATACTTGCTGCTCATTAACTTATTTTGAATACTCTGGAAGACATCAAAACACAATGTATAAAAATATTTATTTTGTTATGCTTTAAAGCAGGCAAAGCTTCTCCCACTCAGGACTCTAGACTCAGCTTTGCACTAAATTCTACTAGATATAACTCTTCATATTCTAGACAGAAGTCTTGCATTTTAAAGAACTTTTCTTTCTATCCCATTGTAATGTCTCTCTCACATAGGTTAGACTTAGCATTCACCATTCAAATCCATCAAGCACATAAAAATGGTCCCCAGTCCACAATGCTGAGCCATGTTTTTCTCTTTAAAGTGAGAGTTAGACTATCACCATAAATTAACTAAAAATGTATTGAAATATAACTGAGATGCTAAAGGACATACAGTTAAAAAGTAAGAGTGAAGATTTCATTATTTCATTTCCATCTATGACATGGAATTGCCATCTTGTCTTGCTCAAGTCAGCCATCCATACATGGTGTAACATGAACTTCAAAATAAAAACCAGTACCTCTCTATCTCATTAGGTAACAACACTTTTAGTGTTTGAAACTACTCAGGCTTGGTACTCAGATTCTGTTCTTCAGATTTACTTTTTTTAACAGAAGACACTTCATCACTCCAAAAACCCCCAGAAAACCTGCCACAGAAGTCTAAGTAGATACTTGAGAACATAGTAAATATGATAGACCAATATTTTCCTGTCCTGGTATGCAAGCAATTACAGACAATATTCACATTATAGATATGCTCATTCATATATTCAGATACCCTTGCATTGCAGATAATCAGCCAAAAAACAAAAACAAACAAAACAAACAAACAAAAAAACAATCAGCCCACAGGAGGACCTGGATTTTATCCAGAACTTCATTTAAAAACAAAACAACAAGTACAATTTCAACATTTCTATGCCAGCAAATATCTCCAAGTTTACTCTATAGGGACAACTGTTCAACAACTGGGAATGAAAATGAAAGACATTTTATTCCTCCCTTTCCATGGGGAACCCGTTCTAATTTCAAGGCTGTTCTTAAGGCCACAGAGATGCAACTGCACTAACAGACAAAAAGTCTTTAATGCAAATAACAACCAAAAGAAAAAAAAAATCAACATATGATGAAGCTCAATGCAATACAGTCTGAACTCCAATAACACTAATTTATCTTAAGGATAATAGAACAAAACTGCACTACTTTCAAACAGCCCAGATCAGTATTCTTGTGTGTTTATGCAACCCTCAGCAAGTTAGCCAACTGATGTACCACCTAGCTTCCCAAACTGTTTTGTACTGAAACTCTTTTTACTTGCACGTAACTTGCATATTAGTGGCCAATTCAATGATATAAATAGCAGTCAAGTAGAAATGTAGGCATTACCCAGGCATCATCAAACAGTCTTCTGTCCACCCCATATCTTGACAAATGCCCACACATATGTAGATAATATTTAAATGGTCATTAATTATTTAAGCAGGAAATGCTATTTGTCTATAAGACTATTTAAAACAAAAAACAAAAAATCCTAACACCAAAAAGTCCTACTATAGACTCCTGCTCATTACACAGCATCTTCACTATCTCTTAGTTGGAAATTCGATCTATTATTATCAAAATATCAACACTGTATAGATAGCTATTTATTCTAACCTCTTCTGCTGAGGTTGTTACTATTTGTTAGGCCTTACATGCCTGGATACTGGGAAGCACAGCAGAAGGTTTAAAAAAGGCTTACAATTGTGATGTTATAAATGCTGTCATCATAGAGTTTCAACATGGAACACTGATCCATTTATTACATTTCTTGCCTTGTGGATTTCCTGTGCACCTGCCAGACCTCTTCATGCAGACAGGCAGTCATAACTGAGAATATTTTCTAACATGGGTCAAGTTAAAGCAAATCAAAGTAACAGTGCTGATTAAGCTAGCCAAATCAGATACCAAGCAAGTCTGGGCTTCAGATATTGACAGAGTGCACAAAGAGACATGGCCAAAAGACCAACAGTCTGAATGGGAATGGTACAGAGCACCACAGAGTTAATCTTCAGCCAAGTACAATGAGAGAATACAGCCATAAAGAAAGAGATCAGATCTATTGCCAGAAAGACTCCAGACATAGCAAAAAGTAACAACCACCAGTGCAACAGATGGAGCATGCCATAATGGATTTATGATCAGCCAGGCAGCATTGCTGCAATCACAAATAAAGCTCAGCACTTAGGCACGTAATGCATTCCCCTAAAGCCATCATCATCAAACCCTGGCAGAAGTTCACTCGCTGTTTGCTTGCATTGCAAATGTTTGAGAACATCTCCTACAAGAGAAGAGTGTGAATAGCAGAACACTGGCTATAGCAAGTCTATTGGCGAGGGAAGAAACATCACCTTTAGGGAGCTATGCTATTTTGGTATTCCCCTGGTGCCTTATGCCCCACAGCTGCAAGTGGTACATTTGGGTCTACCTCAATCCATTACTGGGACTTACTAATGACTTTTTATTTTTAATTAATTAATTAATTTATTAAACAGTTGTCTGGAAGGCCTTGCAGATAGGCTGCTCTATGCTTTCTTTACTCCAGCATTATCCTTCGATCTTACGGTTATGCACTTTTAAAACTCAGGTTTTAAGAAAACAACATCAATATTCATCATATTTCATTTATACTGTTTGTGGTTTGAAAGCTTGTTATTCATTGCACTCAGAAAAATAAACTGATGAAGGGAATTTCATGAGTTAAATCAGAGTACACAAATCAAGCATGCCAGTAGGATCTATGTTTGTGACAATTTAATGTCTACCTTCAGAAAAGACACATATTAAGATGGCACACATGAATGATATTGATCATTATATAGGACTTGTAGTCCTCTCAAAGAGGTTTCAGTGTATAGTAATAAAAAAGAATCTACACGATAGGATAACTCAGTTTCTGTCAGGAAAGCAAGCATGCAAACGGTCCCCAGCAGATATCTACACTGGCGGTTTCTGTAAGCCTCAGAGATTTTCTTTAAGGTGAGGGAAGAGTCAGTGCTCTACAAGAGATGTGCTTGGTTTTTGCTGCTGCAGACAGGTCAGGACTCCAGCCTCATGAATTCCCATGCCAGTCTAATTCCATCATGTGGCCCTCACCAAAATGCCCTTAAGGTAACTTACGTTCTTCAGGGGAGAACAGTTCTGGTATCCTGTTGATACTCAGTGTGATTTGCTCCATTCTATGCAAATGCCTAAAATCTTGAGATGGATTTTTAAGTCTGGCTCTTCATATAAGCCAAAGTTATTCAATGTATAAGAGAGAGTGACAAGCTCCATCATAAAAAACTCCCTTGAACTTTTCAAAAAGAACGTTCACACTATCTTAAGCATTTTTACACCATCAGCTTACGTGCTGCATATGAAAAACAAATGCTAAATGTGGCGCCTTACACTGAGTGGTATGGAGAATAGGTATGCCATACAATATTCCTATCATTACTAAATGAATCTCTATTGTATCCAGGAAGCAAGTAGAGGTCTTATATGGCTTTTATTAATAGAACTGTGATCTCTGTGGAATGCAAGTTGAGAAAACGCCTCATGCCTTTCTTCCCTACCTAACAACTGTTGCTGAGTGACATTATCAATTGCAACTTGTTAGAACAGAATAATAGGAAAAGTCTTCTGTAATCACTCACTGCACTTAAAAATGAAGTCAAGCTTTCTTTCAGTGTAACAGCATTATTTCCAATTTTTGAGTTGCATTCAGTGAACCTGGTTTCTTGAGTCTGCCCAAGCAGTAATCAGTGTACAGGAAAAAAGGGGGAACAGAAGACCTAGACTGTTTGCCAGTCTCATAATACCAAAAGATGATAGACTCCAGTCTTAAGCAACATGCGTTCATGAGCCATGAATGGCTTCATTTAGGGTAACTAGGAATAACTGAAGTACTGGTCATTTCTACCATGCACGGCTAAGGCAGATAAAGCAAAGAAAGGCTGCTATGTTCATTCAAGTATAAAGATGCCCTAAAAAATAAGCAGAGGGTTTGGAACTAAATGATCTTAAATGACCTTCCAAAACAAACTATTCTATGATTCCACAATCTCCATTTCTGGAGAGAAATAATAGAATCAGAGAATGGCTTAGGATGGCAAGGACCTTAAAAGATTAGCTGAACTCACCTGGTGTACTTAATTTTTAGTTATGCATAAGGTGATGTTCTATGAAGGTTTTTGCAGAGTTTGACATTATTAAAATTAGGATATTAAAAATGAAACATTTCATGTTGTCAAAAGTACTTATTTTCTGTACAGACACCATATATCTGTATCAGTGCACGACGAGCTGTTTGCTGTATATAATAACTTCTACCAAATGATTATTTCAGAAGAAAGTTCCCCTGCAACACTATGTGCTTGTAGTTACAAACATTCTGATAGTTACTGAATGTCAGTTTTAATTCTGATAAAATATTTTGCCCAGTATGCATTTATGGGAACTGTAATTCCAACTATTAAATTATCTCTACTATCATCCTCCTACCTCAACTTAATGCAAAGAAAATACAAATATCAGCTGAACCTTCAACTCAGCTCTTGTATACGTAGAGTACTTTCATGCTATGGCCAGCCAGTTGGAATAGTAGGAATAGGCTAAAGGTTGCTTTTGATCTTTCCATTTCTATCAAGCAGCAGCTGCACAAAAGCCTGAGTTATTGACTCTCCGCAGGTCTGGAAATACAGGAAGAGAATTAATCTTACTGTGCAGGTCACTGTCACTGCAGATAGCCTATTAAGGAGCTAATTATACCCCAAATTAATCTGCAAGCAAGTTCATTTGTGTAGGTCAGTTTATAGGGTGCAGAACTTTAGAAGTGAATAAATATGTATGTGCTGTGACTTTTTCCATAAAATAAATAAATAATGTGTCAACTGTCATGATTTTCATAGAATAATGAATAAATACAGCTTCACTTCAGCACAATACAAAAGAAAAGCTAGGTATCATAATTATTTATAACTTGGCTGTAAGACCCTGACTACAAAGCAGTTACTTCTGAATAACAAATCAGTCCCTTTCAATTCAATGGGGCAAGTATGTGTATATGAGTAAGTGTTTACAAGATCAGTGCCAAAGTTAAAAGTGACCCAGTAAATGAAACCTTTACAATAGAATGGATTCCTTTTTCATTTAATTATTTTATAGTAGTAATACTACAATTTCACTGAAAAAAAAAAATTCTGATAGCTTATTAAGACATAGTCTTTAATGCACTTTAAAAAAAAATACAAAAGACTGCGCAGTTATCTCCTGCATTTGGTGCTATTCAGTGTTTTAATACTGTACATGATAGACTACTGCATTTGGTTTTTTTTGAAATCAGTATATGACACTGAACTGCAGGTGCTCCAACTGCTCAGAGGGAAACAGTTCAAAATAGATTTCAGTGCAATGGAGAAATCGTCTGCATGAAGTTAGCTAAAGGCAAGTATAAAGGAAAAAGGCAAATGAAGATGACACTGTTATAACATCAGGTATATAGTTGGCTACAGACTGAATTCATAATACTATACTATTGAGGGGGGGAAAAAAAAAAGCCTCACTCCAGAAGGTAGTACATAAGTAATACATATCATATAGATGGCACATGACATAACTGTCCCACTTTTATGCAACTGATATTTTCACTGGTTCCACTAATAAAGTTTCAGCTGGAGCACTCTATTTAACATGGGAAACCAAACATCAATAAAAATGTCTGTGAACTGTATCTGAACTAGCACAAGTCCAAACATGGCAACCACAGTAATTCCAGGTCTAGAAAACAAAGCTTAGGAGCACAGACCAAGTTAAATCCTGTCCTCTTTACTCCAGAGAAGTACAGAGGTGAGAAGGTGCATGCTAATAGTCTTTAAACTGATCACTTTTCCTATTTGGAGAAAAATTCCTAAGTACTTTAATTACATTGTATATATTTGGTTCACGTAAATAAACATTTAGGTAGATCTTGGGATAAGTGGGAAGCATTCTACTGATGAGAACAGTAAAAATCAGCACTGGTTGCATAAAGATACCACAGATATCACTATTACAGAACATTTTAGAAAGAGGTTACAAACATTTGACAATCCATGTATATTTGGTACTATAGAGTCCAAATTACCTCTCAAGGTGCCTTTTAGTTTTACACAAGTGTTACTCAGACTTCATCTTCATAAACAAATTTTATGACTTATAATTAGTAGAGATTTTATATGCACATTTCTGGACTTACCTAATGCTGAACACTGATCTAATTCTTATATTTCTATGCCACATACACATTACTGATTAACTATAGGCACTGAAATTTAAAGAATAAATTTAACACAGTAGTCTGGTGACTATCCAAGCTAGAGAGAAAATATTTCTGAATTATTTAAGAAGAAAATATAATCTGTTTCATCACTTCTGTCTAGCAACAGGACTACATAGGCCTCAAATCCTGTACTGACCTATACACCTTCGGTATGATAAAAGAAGTTCCATCAAGTACAACTGCACAGTACATAAAATGTCCTCGGTTACACAGGCTTTGCAAAAAGAAAGGTTAATTTTAGTTCAAGAACTCAGGTTGGTAAAACTGCAATAATGCCTGTGGCTACTAACACATTTTCAAAAGATCTTTCCTTCTTCAATACTATAGCACACTATTGTAGCCAAATCATTTTAATAGCAAAAAAGTAATTCTGGAATATTACAAGGAAACTACCAGCACTAACAGGATTTTAAGAGTATGTAATCAAGTTTAAACTAGAAAATGAAAACTAACATTTCCTCTAATGGGAGTTACTTTTAAGATACTATAAACTTCAATTAGGCAATGATAGGCTATTTTTTGTTTTGTTTTGTGGGGAGGTTTCCTGCTAAGGCTTTTGTGTGCTTAATAAAAACACATATCAAGATCACTCATTAAGTGGATATTCAATATTTAATTTTATCATTTAATAGAAGTTGTAGCTTCACATAACTTACTGAACATCTTCTAGACATTTGAGAAGTTGAGACCCAAAGTTACATGGTACTGTACAGTCTCTACTGAGGCATCCCCAAACTGTACTTCACAAACATAAACAAACCCAATGCCACCACATGCTGTGAACTGAAGCAGTATCATGACCCCTTCTACAAACACAAGCAAAGCTGCAGACTGCAAGATAAGGGAAGACCAAATGCCTTCCAACTTGATGTATTTTATTCTTTTCCCTCTACTTTTCTCCCAGTCCTTCTCCTTCCTTACTCAGATTTTCTATCAGTCTTCCCAGACTGATCCACCTTACAGTTAGCTGAAGTTTCTAACAAAAAGTTCTTCCCAATTTCAATCAAAGACTAACATGTTCCCTCTGAGTGTTTGTGCCTGTGGGACAGATGGTCATTCCTTGCCATCCCACTCCAATGAATACGTGTACGTGCATACACCCACACATACACCTATACAATTATTAACAGAAAAGCACACACGCACAGTAATGCAATAGTTC